CCAGTTCTCATCTTCCAGCTCCCCAGATACTCCGCGTACTAAAGTTGCACTAGAAAGTCGCCAGTTCTCAGCTTACAGCTCCATAGATTACTCCGCGTACTAAAGTTGTACTACAAAGTCGCCAGAGGGTTGCGCGCACACCCGGCAAATCGCACTCTCGCCTGCATTTCGCGCACTCCACACGCACGATCTCCGCAGAGGGTTGCGCGCGCAGCCGGCAAATCGCACTCTCGCCTGCGTTTCGCGCACTCGACACGCACGATCTCCGCAGAGGGTTGCGCGCGGACCGGACAAATCGCACTCTCGCCTGCATTTCGCGCACTCGACACGCACGATCTCCGCAGAGGGTTGCACTTTCGGTTGACGCTGTTCGTCCCGCACTCCGCCTTTAAGAGAGAATTTATAAAGTGGGGAAATGCTTTTTCATTAGGACATCTCCCGTCCATACTCACACTTGCCTACTCATTGCATGCTTGCATACGCACCCTTGCATATCATGGCATACTCACCCTTGCATATCATGCTTGCATACTTACACTTGCATACTTTGACACTGGCATACTTCGCACTTGGATGCTTTCGCTCTTCCAGTGTGAGTGTCGAAGTGTAAGTGTCGAAGTGTCAGTGTTCAAAGGATTTTCCGGAAGAACCCTTCGCAATGCTTTCGGGAAAAACCGATGGTAGGACCAGCGGATGAATCCAATTCCGAGTCCAATTCCGCGTCCAAGCATTCTAACAGCGAATTCATATACTGTATATTGGGGTTGTTGAAAGACATGAAGGGGTGAGGTGGATAAGAGTTCGGTGCATCGTTTACTTTCCCTACATCGCCTTCGGTCTTCGTGTGGGTTTTCGTTTGTGGCTTTGACATGAATGCGGTTCAACAGTCTGCATACTTATTAACGGATGATTCTGATAGAATTGTGCAGTGTTTTCTGTAAGAACCTGTGCCATGCCACCTCTTGCTGTGTCAAAGGCTGGGTGAAAGAAGTGAAGCCTGGCTGGGTACTCTGGTTTACTTCCCGATCCGAACGGTGGGCGTGGTGGTTTTCCGGGTCGGTCGAGTCTCTCCACTTCAGCCCATACAGCCCACATACACGTGGTTTCTAGATCCACTTCCAATGTTCGCCGCATGGCTTGAGAGGCCCAAAGCCTCCGGAGATCCGCTTCCAATGTTCAACGACGCCGAATCCGAAAGTCTGCTGCAGCGACGTCCGCGGAATGGAAGTCCAGGAGCTGATGACGAGCTGCTGCATGGCTCGACGCTGGAATCTGAGAAGCGTGAAACGAGAATCGCAGTGAGATGAGGTTTTGAAGCTTTAACTGCTGGGGATAAAATCAGATAAGGAGATGATGAAAACATGGACTTGGCTTTGGACCGGACGGCCCGGATCTCTGTTGCAAGCATTGTTTGGCGTCATCCACGGCCAATGGAACCCTGGCACAGCGGCGCCGGAGGGCAGCTGGTGGAGCGGGGGTTGCACCAAGCGGCGACCTAGAACTGGGCACATCGTAGCAGTCTGTCCACTTGGTTCCCATAATGGGTTTAAGGGACCATTTATAGTTGTGGGGCTCCAAAACCAAGGATTCCTGCAGATAGAGGGGCTCTGCCAAATGCACCAATCAATGAATGGGTTGAAGAGAACATCGTACAATTGCGAAAAACGGAATCCAGAAGCCGAACCCGACCTGTTCAGAAGGGGCTCCAGGGCGGTCGTCTTCCAGTCGGGCGCCCAAGTCCGGATCCCCAGCAGAGGTTGAAGAACCCTAGTTCGACTATCCTATACCTAGAACCTGAGTCTGACCTCTATTTTGGATCACCAACCACCCAAAATATGGCCAAACTTCCTGTCAAAACAGAGGTCAAACGTCTGGGTTCCAGGTAGAATACCCCTGGATATGGGTCCTTTGTCAGGTCACTGAACCCCGGCCTTGGGGTCGCTCGGGCGACACTGTCCTGCTGATGAGCAGCGCATGACACCGTCACCTTCGGCGCTTTGACGACCCACCGTCACCATCGTCTTTTGACCGGAAGAAGTTCCATTCCTTTGGCCAAAAGCCCTGAAGTTCCCATGTCACCTCATAAGGCCACCGATAGGCCCGTGGTATGAACACGAATGGCGACCACCCACCGGTTGGCAGGGCGCCATTTAATTGCTGAGGTCGTACCTGAGCATGCTGCATGACAAGGGGAGGTGCCGGCCAAACGAAGGGTCACCCAAAAGGAACTCCGAACCGTCAGAACCTGGGGAAGTCCAGAAACAGTTCGGACTGGTTCCCAATATGGCACCAGCTTGATAGATCCTTTACATAGGAAGTGGCTGGGACTGGGCTGGGACTGGCCGACGAGTGCTTGAGTGACTGGGACCGAGGAAACATCCAGGGTTGTTTCTGGTTGAGGTAGCAGCGAAAGCCAGGTACTGATGCTCAGGTCAAACTTGGTTTCCACTGGATTCCTTCAGAATGACACAGAAACCAAGTTCTTTCAGACTATAGAGACTATATAGAGACTAAGTCTCACGGATTTTGTTCTTGGAGAGAAGCCTGTTGCAGGACACCCGTAGTTTAGGGGTGTCTATTGATAGCCCCGAAAAGAGGTGAATGTTTTTCGGGCTGTCCATGTCTACCACCCCAACAGTGGATCCTATAGTTGCAGTAGATTTCACGACCTGTGCTCCCCCCACCGCGGCGCCAGGAATGCGGCCTACGACGCGGCCCTGCGCGCCGTGGGCCGAGCTCCAGAGCTCGTGTGCGGGGCGGGGGGAATGGGTTCGGGGCCGCCTGGGAGGGGGGCCCACCGCTGATATAGCTGGACCCTCTAAGGGGTGCCTAATGGAAGCCTATAGGTAGTGTGGAGTAATCCATTGGACACCCCGACAGGAGGGTCCTGGTAGTCTTATAGTGCTTATGGTACTTCCCAGCGGTCACAGGGTCCGGGTGCCGAACGGAGGAAGGAGTACAGGTGCCCAGAGTCACATCCACGGCTGCGTGGGACGCAAAAGCACCCCGAGCTTTGTGACTCCTGGTGTCTCATCTTATACCAGCTGCTTCCGTTCGGGGTCACCTGGCTGGACATCTCCACACTACGTAAACAGGTCTCTATTGGGCACCCCGACAGGAAGCGCTAGGTATATGGCTTGCAGTTTGGTTGTCAAGGACGCGTTGTTGCTATTGTTGTTGGCCATGATTGTTTTTCTTTGGGTGATTGTTTCACAGTCTGGACTTTTAGAAGGCTGTATGTTCGCTTTGTGTTTTAGCCAGTTGAGTCGAGCAGGTGAAGCACGTGGGTGCTTGGGGGTCTCGTTCGAGCACACAGCCATGAAGGGCGATCTTCAATACCCGTGGTCAATTTCTTTGTATTCAGCCTGTGAGGATGTGGCCTTTGTCCTTTTGCAAAAAGAGCAGGACCTCCCTACCGTCCAAAAAAACGAGGATCAGATCCGCTGGTTTCCCTACCGTTCATCGCCAGGACTGCCGGACCGATCGGACCGGGTCGGAGCGTCGGAGCGGAGACCTCGACGACGGCGTGGCATCCGACCGCGGTGGAGCCGCGCCCGGTGGAGCGTGCCAGGCTCGATTTGGGTGCAGGGACCGGCTTGCTGGCAGCCCTGGCATGCCAGGCCGAGCGGGCCGGTGCCAACGCGGCGCAAGGGGAGAATGAACATGAGGTGAAGATGGCTTCTCCACCAAGAGACCTCTCTGCCGAAATGGGATGTTTCTCCTGACATGGTGGACATGTTGTTTCCCTCTTGTTTCCCTCAGTCGAAGGTCTTCTTCTCATCCAAGGCTGAGGTCCCCATGCAGCCCGTCCAGTCGAAAAACCGGTCTCAAGAGATTTCGGCAAAATCACTGGACTTCGACCTTTTCTTTTTGTCAGAAACTCTGCTTCTTGAATCAACGTACCTGCTTTTCCAGTCCTTTTTTAAACAGGTTCATGAAGCCTTTGGTAGGCCATCCTGTCTGGATGTCCAGCCATGGACTACCCAGCGCACTACTATCCAGGTGTTTCAGACCTGACACCCAAACCGGGTCCAGGTAGGGCCGTGACGATGTTGGAGACCAACTGAACTGGTTCCATCTTCCATGTCGGTTGTCCCTGACTTCCGCGAAGGAGAGCACCAATGGTTTCCATTCGGCTTCCCCAGCACTTCCGTTTTGACTCCTGAACTACTTCACTGCTCCCACGACCGGTTCGGCCATCCACCTGGTTCGGTCAAAATTTACACAGAAGGCCGGATGTCTACTCTCACCATCGTTATCCACTCACTGAGTCCCTAAAAACCACCCCGTCTTGTGACTCCTGGAGTCTGGTCAGGCTGAAACACCACCAACTACAGCTCGTCCCACCCGTGCCACCAGTGCCTTGCGCCGAAAGCCTGAGGCGCATCCGTCCTGCCGCGCGGTGGCCTGCGAGGCCGAAAGCGGGGAGCAAGAGATGGAGAGCACAGGCACTTTGTAAGAGATGTTGCTATACAGTCTTTTATATAAGTGCGATAGTGAAATTGGAACGAACATGGACAATTGGAACGAACATATTTTCCGTTTCTGGTTGAGACCAGGTTTCCAGGCGGCTTTGAAGAAGATCCTTCCGAAAGCCAAAGAAGGTCCATGTGTTGAAGGTTTGGGCGAGCCAGTTCCCAGGCTGTCACTAGTGATGGTGCAGGGGCAAAGCGTCTCTGGGACTGCTAGTCCGGACTGCCGCCCCAACCCTCCAAAGCACCCCTCCCCGTTTCTCGGCAGTCGTATTCGGCAGTCCCAGATAGGTCGTGTCTGGGATTGATTGGAATCAGACTGGAGGTCGGAACCTTGGCCCATTCCTTCGCTGCATCTTCTGGTGAACGGAAGACCCATTGCACGACGCTCGAGGTCTATGAGCGCTGTGCCCACGTGGCCGGACTGGTGTTGAAAGAGAATGGCTTGCAGGAGCGTGTGAAGGTGGGGCAGAGTGGTGGAAGAGGTGTGAAAAAGTGCATGATGCAAAGCTGTCCAGCCACAGATACTTATAGAATATGTTTTAAAAAAACTTCCAAGTATGCAACATGTGTTGCCCTTCGACTGGGTAGAAGAAAGAGGCAGACACGTTAGACAGTTGGAAGATCCAAGGTCTTTTCGTTTTTGTGGCTCGAAACGGGGACCTTGTTGTGCGAAAACCCGAAAGCAACTTCCTGCGGAGCGACACCCGTCTCACTCTGGTCACCCTCTGGTCAACTGCACTGGTCGGGGGTTGCGCCTGGAAACCCAGTCTCAACCAGAAACAGTTCTGCCTGGAAACCCAGTCTCAGCCAGAAATTATATAATGGATGTTTTCACAGTCCCAACCACTTGCTATGTAAAGGATCTCAATTGCCCTGCGCCCTGTTGGAACAACCCAGAACTGTTTCTGATTGGGACTGGGTTAACCCAGGGCAGAGATGATTTGGGGAGCACCACTGCTTCGGAACACCATGCAACAAGTTCAGTGGAGAGAACACCTCGCCACGTCTCCTCCACCTGTCTTTGGGTCTTCGGGTTCGGTCATCCGAACTCGGGGCCGATGTCATCCACGTGTTCACCGGCTCTCCATGGGGGTCGGGGGTCGGACCCCGCAGAGGTGGCCCGGGCCCAAAGCAAAGCCGAGAGTGTTGGTTCGGGCCCGGATGTGTTGGTTCGGGCATGATGGATTTCAAGGAGTGTTTGCCAGTCATGAAGTTGAAGAAGACATGAAAGCAGCTGACCACCATCTAAGCCAAGTGTTTCATTGGCTTTCTCTCATGCCATCTAAGCCAATCGAAGCCTTGAAAATTGGACATCCTTTCAAAGGGGGTCCTGAAGGTGCAGGAGTTGGGCGAAATGGGAGAATCAGTCATTGGAGTGGACTCTGTCGAGAAGGCAGTCCGTCGACATGATATCGTGGTTTCGAGGCTGTTATCCATCTCGCCAACAAAGAGATTGACAAGAAAGCACGTAAGGGCTTTGCCTTCATCACACCTTTTTCATCTCTTTCTTAGACATGTTGAGAAGAAGGCAAGATAGGTAAGCAGAAAGACCAGCTTGCGGTCGGGGCAGGGACCAGCACGTGTGCCTCTGAGAACAGCAAGCCAGCCGATAGCCAACCTAACCACCATCCAATCCAATGACCTTCCTCAAATCCTATACCATTCCCCAATCCTCTTCGCCACTACCTTGCAAACCACCTGAAAAAAGACATCCACCCACCCAAACCATCGGCGCGCACCACCCTCCCTCCATCCACGCCTTCCGGCGGAGACCGGCAGGTGGTGAACAAAGTGGCCAGCGACCTGGAGGTGAAGAACACCTTCATCTCCCGGGCGGTTTACTGTTCGGATCCAATGCATCCAACGGGCAGTTCTGTTCGGAGGGAGCTCGAGAGCTCCCCTGTTCGACCGGCTCGGGTGTTTCGCCTTCGCCTCGCCTCGGGGCCGTCGCCGTGTCACGTCCGCACCGCGCCGGAGACCGCCACCGATCTTCGTCCGGAGAAACCGCATCGACTGCGCGGTGGAGGCGTGGGTCGAGGTCCCGCCGTCGAAGACAAGCGGTTCGACCGTCCACCGACATCGGAGGTTCGACCGTCCACCGAGGTTCTGAAGAGAACCCGAAGCCCCCAGACGCTCCAAACAGCCCTTGGTCCTCCATATGAGGGTCCGACCCCTCCATAGGTTCGGGCCCAGGGTCGCGTCTGGGCCGATGGATTCCCGATGGATCGTGGCGTAAGGACGTGTGCGGATCCTAATGGTCGGTCAGGTCCGAAGAAGCTGAAGGTCCCGGGACCCGGACCTGGACCAGCCGGGGTTAAGTGACCTGACGGACCCATCATAAGGGGTACCTATATAGGATAGTCGAACAGTCGGGGTTCTTCAACCTCCGCTAGGGCTAGGGTTCGAAATAGGGTTCTTCCACCCTTTTTTCTCCCCTGCTCCCTCTCGCAGATAAGGTGGACCTTCATCCAAAACCCGGACCCACCTTAGAAGGCCGAAGAGAAGGCAGAAGACCCACCAAAAACCCGGTGCACCTGGACCAGGTGGGTGAAGATTTACCTCGGAAGGCCGACCTCTGCATCTTCGAGCTCTTCGACTCCCAGCTCCTCGGGGCGCGCGGGGGGGAGATGCGAAAAGGACGACCCGTCGACCGACCAGTAGAACGACCCCGGGACGGAAGACGGGAGAAGACGGGGCAAGGTGGAACATGAGGAGCTCGGTTTATCTTCCCTAGCGATCCAAGTACCTTCTCAGAAGGCACCTGGACCCTCCAAGTCCACCCCAAACACCTTCTGAGAAGGTACTTCGATCTCTAGGGATTCTTATATTTTTGGGTGTTGGTTTCGATGGTCCGGGACAACCATCCGTGAAACCGTCTTCGTTTCCCCAGCCTATCATGATGGTGATGCTCCGTGAAAGCCATCCATGCAGCTGTGATTCACTGGGAGTTCCGTGCAGGTGCTCATCAACAGACTGGCTCACCCGTTTGCCTTGTGCGAAGCGAAGAGAAGACAGACCAAGAAAGACCCTCCAACCATCTCCAACCGATTTCGCTCACGTTCTCTTTGCATTTCCCATGAACTCATTAAGGGGGCATTACAGGTTCGCCAGGTCCCTCCGTTTCGGGTGTTGGAAGTGTTGCAAGAACATGAGAGGACAGCAGCGCGCCTTTTCTGTAGCATTTGTAGCTTCGCTTTGTAGACGATGGCTGGGGCCTGTGATTTAGGCTGCGTCAACAATTGACCGCCCATTCTGCTTAGTCTAGACCAATTGCATTTGCCACTGCAGGGTCAGAGTCTACACCCAAGGCCCACCCAACTTCTACAGAAACTCCAGGGTATATAGAAACCCTCACGACTAGTTCGGGTGACGAACGGAACCTTCACGGCCCTATTTTCAGCAGTTGCCTCGCGACCGAAAGGGCGTCGGCGTCGAAACGACGCCTGCAAGATCCATCCGTTCGGCCTCTGGGGGGACGTCCCGAGACCTTACCAAAACGGTACCAACAGAGGTTGAAGGACCCGACTGTTCGACTATCCTAGTTCGGTAGCCCCTGGTGATGGGTCCTAGTTCAGATCACTTAACCTCTGGAATGGAACGTAAGTATGCCTATATATGTGTTACGCGAGAACGCGAACGGTCAGAACATCGCGAGAACGTCCAACGCTCAGCACCGAACAAACGGTTCTTGTAGCTCACCTCCGCCCATGGCGGATGGTCTGAAAACGCCCCTCCGAGCGCTGGAGCGGCCGCTCTGGTGCCTGGCGCTCAGCGTGGTCAGCACCGCCTCTGCCCTGCCGGCACTGGCAGAGCTCGAGCCAGGGACCTTCCACCTGCTGCAGCCGCCCCAGGAGGCCCGAGAGTGGTGTTCAAGCGCTTTGGGGGAAGGAAAATAAGAGCCCGTTGGCACCGCGTGACAAACAGGGTTTCTACATGTTTCTACCTTGGTTGGCCAAAAGGAGCAAGGACATTGTAACGATCGGCTGGTTGAAAGTGAATGCAAATGATACCTTGTCCCCCCAACAAACTCACATGTAGTAACTAGCTTGGATGGATGGAGTGAGAATTTTCTTCTCCGACCACTCACAGAGAATTTGGAGGCCCGCTAGGTCAACAAAACCTTGCTTTACCAAGGATGTTTTCATGACGAAACTGGGCTCGTTCCCCTCTTTTGGTCTTCTCGGCTTGCGTGTGTGGGGCGTAGGGGTGGACCAAAAACGGGCAGGATGGCACTGGCTGCGGCCTGGGGAAGCCCTATGAGTTCTTGGTGAAGACACCTGAGAATCAGATCAACAGCAAAGAGTTGGTGCTGGAATTCTTCGGCGGAGGCTGGGTTTGACCGGCCGGGTCGCGCGAGGTTTTTCTGCGGAGGCGTCGGACCGCTGGCGTTCGTTGATAAGAGTTGATTCACAGGTTTGTTCTCAGGTATCCCATATCCGTGACGAGCGTGACAGGCCAGAGTTGTGTGTGTGAGTTGCAATTCTTAAGACTGACTTAGTCAGTCTATTGGTCTTAAAACCCTATAGCACAAGTCAATTATCAGACGACATGATCAACACATCGCATGAATCGATTCGTTCCCCGCTCTTTTGGGGGTGCCTTCATCTTCGAACACTCTGGCACACCCATCGTGCGCGGTGCGCTCCGACTGGCGCGGAACAGGTGGATGTTGGAGCTATGAAACCTGCAACGCGACCACCGAAGGCTGGCTAGGCCTGAACCGCGCGGAAACGCCCCGCGCGGAACTGGGGTCGGGTCCACGGGATGGGTGCTCTGGAACTCTCTGGTGGATGGGCATGGGTCGTGACCAGTCCACGGTGTAGGTCGGTGTTTCGCCCGCTCGTGCCCTCCGCGCGCTCCGTTCCGCTCCGCTCATGGTCGGTGCCAGGAGGCGAGAGGACGAAGTATTGGCTCTCGGAGACGGGGCTGGAGTTCATCCGAAGTATGATGGGAAGCAGCGTCAAGAACTGCCCCTTGGGCACCTGACGTGCGGAAGGACGCCGGCGGAGGTTTGCAGAGCTCTGAAAGGGATGGAACCGGGGGCGGGGGGGTTCAGTCCCACCGAGTTTGGTTGGCACAAAATGGGAAAGGCTTACACCGGACGGAAGGGAGCACGGCGTTGTGTGGTCGTTGTGTGGTCGTTCCATCCGTGGTGCCTCGCTCAGCGAGGCCGCTTCCCCGGCTTCAACGTGGGTGGCCTATGGGATTTCTGCAACGAGGAGCATCCGCACAGGAGCCCCCGTCGACTCGGGACATCGGGTCGGAATGTGAACGCGTTCATCGGACAGGAAAGTACGTGAGTCACGTATACGGGTCTTTTCCGTTCGTTTCTCGGTTTCTTCCAACAAAGTCATTTCACATCGACTGTTGGGAGGGAAGAAACTTCAGCCCGTGTCTGAAAAAGTCGACCTGGGCGGTCCCGCTTTCATCGACTGTTTGCTTCCTTTTTTGGAGTGCCTGGAGTGCCCCACTTTCTCAACGAGAAACCGTTCTATTCTGGTGGTGCCGGCGCCACGTTCTGTTCTTGGAAGTGGCTGGGACTCGTTGAAACTGGGGCAAGCCAATAACTCGTGGTTTGTGCTTGGGTTGCTCCACTTGATGTGTATCTGGTGCCCGAATCCATGATTCTTCGTGTCCACGGTGTGATGTTCCTCGAGATCTTGGAGGTACACATGTGACAGGGGTCTCTACGGCTGATTCTATTTTCCTCCCGCGCTAGAAAAACAGACATGCTTAGTAGTCTGCAGAATCAGAATCACATTTTTGGATAGATGCAGGTTTGCTTTCCAAGACCTGTTGCCCAACTTTGGCCCATCTAAACCTTCACGGTTTCAGTGGGGTTTCCATCTTGCTTTGGTGACTGCTAACCTCAGATCTGTGCCCATCTTCCAGGAACTGGACGTGGGTGACCTTGGCCTACTGCACCGGGGATCAGCATATGGGCAACCACGTGGCCCGGTATGACGATTCCAATGGGAGCTACATGGAGGTTCAGCACCTGGGAGCTCGCAACGCTGACTCCGTGCTGCGATGGGTCCAGCGGAGGTGGGGCAGACGGAGACGGAGACCATGTGTTCAAAACACCAAGTCCAAGGCCCACCATTTGATGTCACTGGTGCCATTTTTGGGGGGAACCACATGGAAAGCCCGGTTTGTTATACAAGGACTTTAGACGGCAGCCAGCTGGTGTGTTCAGCCCGGGTCTTCTCGGTAGGACGACGATACAGGAGGCGGGCACTCGAAGGCACGGTCGCTCCGAACAAGCTGGCAACCCAGTCTAAGGGTGCCTCTAAGGGGTGCCCAGTGGAAGCCTATAGGTAGTGTGGGGTAGTCCATTGGACACCCCTTGGAGGGTCCTGGAACAGGGCGCAGGGCAATTGAGACTTGAGATCCTTTACGGACGCAAGTGGTTGGGACAGTGTATCTGTAATCATCTGCAATCTTTTTTGGGCTCGACCTCGTGCTTGCAGCACGTTTTTGCGACCCTCAAGCTTTCCAGTGGAAGCAATCTCCCCCCAAAGTCTCTTTTTTGCATTGCCCAGATGCTCATGGACCCTCATATGGAGGGGTCTGGACCCTCAAATCCGGTTTTGAGGGACCAAGGGCTGTGAACGGAGCGTCTGGGTGATACGTCCGTTTCTGGGAAGAAACAACCATGGCGCCCAAAAAAACCTCTCAGTCACCTCCTCGCCACACCCGGTCCCTCAGCTTCCCCGAGCTCGAGCGCATCCACGTCGTCGGTGAGTCGGCGGGCGGCTGGGCCACCTTCGCGTGGACGCAGGAGGCGCGTCGCGGTGCGTGTCGCGCGCATGGCGCGAGCCGCGCGAGGCTGAGGGCTGATACAAGGGGGGGAAGGGGAGGGAGGATGGGATGGAAGGCGTTTTGGGATGGTTTTTGGAGGAAGATGAGGAACTGGACATATCAAGTCGACCAGGCCAGGTAGTTTTTGATGTTTTATTTGCGATGGTGGGAAGGTGACATTGATTTGTTCTCTTCGCCTGCTACTTTTGGGGCAGTGTGGGGTGGCTGTTTGAGACTTGAGCTGTCACCGTGCAGCCCACACTGTCGCCGTGGGGTGACACTGTTCGCCCGCACATCACCCACCACTTCTGCGTGCGGCCTTCTTCTTGACCACACATCAACGCCACTTCACCATGTTTGGAATCATATAACTTTAACCCTATAGACTATCCTATAGGTCCTATAATATATATAGGTATTTCATGGTACCCCTCACAGGGAGTGCATGGGGGGCCTTCACATGGGACCCTCTCATTCTTAACTGACTCTGGGGACACTCGTGATCTACTCTTTAACTACTCTTGGACTACTCTTATTAACTCTTAAACACTCTTAACTACTCTTGAGTACTCTTAACCTACTCTTTACTACTCTTGACTACTCTTAACATCTCTTAACATCTCTTAACCTACTCGTGCAACTCTTAGCGATTTTCAGGTCACTCTTATCTACTCTTCACCACTCTTGAGCACTGTCGACCACTGAATTACTGAGATGGAGGAGGCTCAAGACGGGCCCCCTGCAGGGGCTGTTGCGAATCCTGGGGTGATAGAGTCGCTTTGGAAGAGTGAATGCTCTGTTATAAGTCCAC